CAAGTGTATCTGTGCTTTACACCTACAACCACAGAATCACACTCACACACAATGACACACACAAACGTGTTCAGGAAACATGATACCTTGTGATCCAGGATGACTAGTTTGCATCGCTAAAACTATAGTTAAAATTATAGACGCTGTAAGAGAAGCTGAAAAACTGGGTGCAGCTGTGATATGCATGTGAAACCAACAGAACACATGCATTCCTCCACACAGTAAAGCAAAGCTATAGATCATAAAAGGGGCTCTCTGCCATGCAGCAGGTTCATACAGAAAAGGAGGACTGATACATGAAATCATGATACACTATGAGTGTGAAAAGTTCAGCAAACTACACATAATTACATCCACCGATCTTAAAATAAAGTCGCAGCTACATCTGATTAAAATCAAATTAAATGTCTGTGACACGGACAAGTTGGTTAAATCTATCTTTAGTTGAGACTTTTAGTGCACAACATGAATGAACATGATACATGAATGTGACACATAGAAGGGGGCCAAACAGTTATACTGTTACATGCTTTGCTGCTTATTTTAACCCTCACTAAACACTACAATCCACAAAATATTGTCCAGAACAAAGGCACGCTTCTGGCAGCTTAATGAACCTTAATGCAACAAACATTTGTTGCATTGCCCTTGTGCAATAAAAGCTGAAGTGACAGTAGATCAGTGACAGGAAATAGTGAGAAATGCAAAGACCTGGTTGAACATTAATTCCACAAATAATTTGCTTGTTCCAATTTAGTTTTCTTCCAAAACAATGAGGCTCGCTACTAAGGACAAGGCATTAATGCAAAAGAGTTTAAATCACTGGCCACAGAAAACAATATGTTCTAAATAAAAACACACTACATTTTTTGTACATATACTGAATAAACTGTAATGATTGGTTCATTATATTCTTTTAATATGCAAGTAACTCAATCCAGTCTAAAAGGCTTAGCCAACCAACCCATTAAAGCTACTATTAATAATGTAAAATGTATAGACACACCACATTAACTTCTGGAGATTAAAGAAAAAAGCCTGGCCTCTGTCATTAGGTCTGGACAGAAGGAAACAACAAAACCCTGACCAGATGATGCCTTTGCTGCTCGTGGTTTTACCTGTTCCTCATCAGTTGTTGTTAGCATGATGTGGTAGCAGCTCTGTCCCTGTTCTGTCTCCTGTCCTGCACTGCAGGCAACCTAACCACCATCACCTCTGCACTACACATTAACACCAAAGCACTAATCCATCAGCATCATCAAACAGGCGCTGGCATCAAACAGGGAACCTGTTGTTGTTATGTTTTATTCCCAAGGTACCAGAACAAACAGTGTAGTCAAATAATTGTGTTATTAGTTTTGTAAATTACTAAATTACTATTATTAAGCTAATGGCACTCTATTTGACCATGTACACAGTGACTATTTCTATGTCAAGTCAACAAACATTAACAAAAAAAAACCCTCACAATTTAACTAACTTAGGTTACCATTTAAAATGGAAAATACAGGAGTAAAATAATGAACGAGCTCTATTCATTTGAGCCAACAGGTCACTTTTTGCTATAAACCCTTCATTCCCCTAAAACACAATATTTACTTGGCTCATTTATTCAGTGGTGACTCTGCATAGATTTTTTATTTTATAAAACTCTATTCCTATATTACAGTCACTCTCAGCCTCCCTGCAAACCCCTTTTGTTCTACGTTTTGTGGTTGTGTTATTGTGTTCTCCTTTTTCCATTTTGTATAATGTACATATTTAATTTATTGTATCATTTAAATGTATATGCAACACTGAGCAAAATCAAAATGAATTACAAAATGAACAATAGTTTCAAGTCTGTTTTGTTCATTATCTATATTAAAAACTACTGTGTATTTAATTTAAAATGAATGAAGTTTGGGTTTTGAATTTTTTTAAATCAATGAATAAACAATTGCTAAAAATATATGAGTTGCAGCCCTGAGGTACTGTCAATGAAATCCACTGTGGCAAAATGGAAAGAAAGAAAAAGCGAGACAAAGCGACAAAAGATCTGAAAATCAGACGATGAGGACCAATAGCGTGAGAGAGATGCTGAATGCTGCAGTTCATTCACACCAGCTGACTTTGCTGTCCTCATCTCTCAACCTTGTGTTTACCTTTGTGTCACTGTGCAACCTTGTATGTCCATTACACAAGGACCCCCTGACTTTCACGCAGTTATGAACATCACTGCTACCATTGTTCTACTGTCCAACTATTCAGTGACCTTCCCACTCCAAGTCAAGAGCACCAGAGGTTGTCACTGTTCACACTACTTTACTCTCAGCGAGATTCGCTTGACGCCCCCCCATGGCTCTTACTATTTTCCTGCACTTCCTTTCTTTAATCTCTTTATGTGAAAGTAGTCAAGCGTTACCGTGCGGCTCTGACACTTGCACCCCTCATTAATAGTTTTGTCTGCTCGACTGTAAGAACTGACGCTTTTACTGTTCTGCTCATTGCAGGTCTCATGAGATGAAAATGTAAAAATGTAAACCACTCCTCCCTTGGCTTTGTTAGGAACACAAAGCCTGTGTTAAATTATGCCAGTGAACTGCCAGGAGCTTTGAATTCATTTATGGAGCTGACCTTTATGAGCTGCCTCTAACAAGGTAATACATAATGTAAAGCACATGAAAATCAAGAGGTAGTAGCCTAAGTGTAAACAGAAACAGCTCCGCAGAGAAAAAGAGAGAGAGAGAGAGAGGGCTTCGGTCATAGTGAGAGCTGCTAATAGATGCAGAGGTTGAAGAGCAGTGTGACATTGAGAGTTAATTAAAAAAAAAAAAAGCACATTCCTGCACCCCTGAGGAGTGTCCTAAGAGTGTCAGAGCTGCATATTGCTAAATATGTTTGTGTTTGTGTGGGTTCTTAAGCATGCTAATACAGTGTTTGAGTGCTTATAAATGTATATATTGTGTGTGTGGTGAGGCTTAACAACACTATAGCCCTGTTTCATAGAACAAGGTTAATGATAACATCTGACCCACCACCAAGAAACAGATCAGGAGATCACACCCCCCCAGCTCACCTCCACAAGTGCATGTCTCCATATGCATACACTAATTAACCAGCATGATAACATCTCCATGCCTCATCCAAACACTGTTCAAGCCATCACGTTCTAATTATGGCAAGCTGGCACAGCCAAAGGAGAAAAAGAAACCAAACTGTAAACTTCCATTTGTTGCAGGAGTCCACAGTTCAAATTTACACCGAGTAGTCCAAGAAAAAAACAACCGTGGAGCCTCTTTTATCCTCTCTAGAACTGGTTTACATTTATCTAGCTTTGCCACAACATGCAATTTTAAACATAAAGCCAATGCACAAGCAGGGGACAGAACACAGGTAGCCTTCTTCCAACTTTGTTCAAAGAAATTCTTGCAAAAACGTTTCCAACTTTAGGGGGGAAAAAACATTTCAATATGAAAGGTAACAAACCTTACCAGAAACTGATCTATATTCAGAACTGTTTCAAACGTGTTGATCCTGTCCTTCATCTTTCCAGCCGTTGCTTCTGCAGGTTGCCACTCACTTTCTTGCTTGTCTCTAATATAGTGTGATTCCTTCTTTAAGTATCTTACATGTGTCCTTTCCTGTGTTTGCCACAGTGACATACACTGACCGTACCTTCTACCTGCTGGCTCCATACAGTATATACTGCAGGCTGACAGGTATGGCAAGTGCTGCACACACACACACACACAAACAGGAAGGGCAGCAAAGGTTAATATAGACACTTGAGGCTTGACAATAAATTGTCAGCAGCTCTTAATTCAGTGGGGTAGATACTCATTTAGGTGGCCGATCCAGATTCCGGTAGCAGATTCCAGCGGAGTCCTGCAGCAGGACCATAAATGATACCAGGTAGGCCAGACACAAGCTGGAGGTTTGAAAATAATACCTGCTGACTGAGCTGAGACCAGAGTCATATCAACACTGTGTGGGATTGGGTGGATAATACTGTCCTACATTATTGTACGTGCCTTCAGCATCAATGACATGCTTTACTAAAGCCTGACTGGGCTCAGGGACAGCATATAGTATCATGTTTTTTGGCTCACGCTTGTTTTAGTGAGAGGGGGGAAAAAACGTTTGGGGGATTAATTCCTCAATTTTAGCAGCTAAAATTTAATCTGTAGCAAAAGTACATATTGTGGAATTTCCTTTGAAGACAGTAAATGTTAAAACTTAAACTACTAATAGTACTCTTGACTTAAAGAAAATAAAATACAGTTTATAAAACTTTGTATCTGCCTGTACCAGTCGGAACAATGAGCCTAACGTTGCATCATTTGGGTTCTATTTTTCACCTTGGTTTCATCTCGCCATTCCCAGTTGTGGGACTTAAAGTGGGTCGCTGACTGCTCTGTTGTGACCCTGCAGTTTGCATGTGAATTCTGGGTCTTTGGGAACCAGAGTACCACTGTTTTTTTGTCTACCCAAGTAGCTGTTTGCATTTTTCTGCAAAACCCAGCAAGGTTCGGTCAGCATGGTGCATTGCAGTGGGTGTGCTGGGACAGGATACTTACAGCTGTGATAACCACTGGGCCTGAATGTGGAGTGCTGCTGCCAACTTGAAATCACACTACCTTATTTCAATATCAGCACTATAAAAGAAAACTGAGTGTACATATGTTTAATTGTGTCTGACCTTGCAGTGGACTGGTGGTTATATGGGGCACTTCCCTGTTTTACACCAGATGCATACTGAAGTACACTTCAACTCACAACAAAATTAAAGTTTTCAGTTTTTTTTGCAGCAAGTACACAGAACTCCCTGCTTGAAAACCTGAGGAATGTTCAAAACCTCATTTAACAGTTTTAAAACACTTCTCCTTCTTATAGCCTACCTAAAGATTATTAAATACTGTTATTATTGTTGTGCACTTCTTAAAGGTACAGCTGGCATTCCTGAAAAAACCAGCAAGGGTAAGCTTGATTTTGACAGTAGGCAACCAGAGAAATCCCGCCCTTTCATTCTGACTTCTCTCCAAAGCCACTCCTCCAAAACAAAATGTGCACTGCAACACACACTGCCTGACTACAACTTATAGATTTCAAGAAAACAACAAATCCCCCCCTAAACACAACAAAACTGTTCAGCAGAAATGCAGCCACCATGGCGTCACTTTTCAGCTCCTTTTGTTCTCTCAGTTGTCGCCGTCGTTACAAAGCTACACCAGTGTTAATTCTGGCTTTACTTCTTGCAGCATCCAACTTCTCTTCCACTTTTGACCAAATTCTGCTGTAGATACCTTCTCTGCCATAACTCGCTAGCTTTAGCTATAAAAACAGAGCGTTAACACATCTGCCTGCCTGCCCTTTAATGTATTCATTGCCATCAGGATGAAAGGAGAATTTCAAAACATGTAACAACCTCCAACACTATCTTTAATATTCAATATAATCTTTTTAAAAAGTTTCTCATCTGTGCCTTTATTGGAGAAATGGGGAGGAGAAGAGAGATGTGGAAGGACATGCAGCAAAGGTCCTTGGATAGAAGTTATTGCAGTTACACTGTCAGACCCTTAGTGCATCAGGACAACCCAATATACGTAGCCTTTAACTCTTAATTATTTGACTGTAAAGTTGTTTGTCGTAAATCACAGTATGAGGTTAATGAATTTAAACTCATTTTCAATACACATAAGGCTGATATTATCTTAATCCAAAGTGGGCTTGAGGAAAATTTTGGAAAAGGAGTAAGTTAAAATGTCTTTAGCCTTGAAGATAGTTTGGGGAAATTAAACCTTGGTTTATATCCAGTATAGTATTTTATTTGTTTTACATGGCACAGCTCTGTAAGGTACCACTACACATTAAAAATTCAGATTTTTCTGTCCCCTTGTGTACTTTCGTTTTATCTCACCTCTGACTGAACTCATGTGCAGCCTTTCACCCTTCACCCTCACTCTTCCCCCTGAAACTTTGCCTCTCACCATCCATCCAAACCCCGCCTTGAGCTGAAACTTTACTCGTACATATAATTAGCAGCAGTGTGACCCAATGTTCACTGACACACTTCTCCCTCTCCCACAGTTTCTCTCTCTTTTGGCCCGTCTGTCCCAGGAGGCCAGCTGCACAGACAGATGGACGCTATAACCTTTACACAAAAACAATGACAAGTTATTGACACTATTTTGCAACACTAGCAGCATTTCATTTTGCAGCTATTGATGTAACAACTAATACTTTAATTAATATATTATGGTCACCTCTAATTGAAAAGACTCATCGTGTAACTGTGATATTATTTATAATTTAACAGGTTAATTGTCGACATCCCAGTCATTCCAGTCTGTGAGACATTTGCCAATTGAGCCCAGTCATTTATTAGCCTGGAACATCTCGGACTCATGACATTTATTTCATTGCTGTTGAGATTCTCACAGACTGACTCATCCCCTGACACCAACAGATTTTTAACCACATCCTTCACATAAACTGTAACACACACAACCAGTCATAACACATCTACACAAGCAGCTACAGTGCATCCAGAAAGTATTCACAGCATTCAACTTTTTCCACATTTTGTTACAGCCTTATTCCAAGATGGATTAAATTAATTTGTGTTCTCAAAATTATACAAACAATATATGACAATGTGAAAAAAGTTTGTTTGAAATCTTTGCAAATGTATTAAAAATAAACAATGAAAAAAGTACATAAGTATTCACAGCTTTTGCCATGACACTCAAAATTGAGCTCTGGTGCATCCTGTTTCCACTGATCATCCTTCAAATGTTCCTATTGGACATGATTTGGAAAGGCATACACCTGTCTATATAAGGTCCCACAGTTAACAGTGCATGTCAGAGCACAAACCAAGCCATGAGGTCCAAGGGATTGTCTGTAGATCTCCGAGACAGGATTGTATCAAGGCACAGATCTGGGGAAGGGTACAAAAAAATGTCTGCAGCATTGAAGGTCCCAATGAGCACAGTGGCCTCCATCATCCGTAAATGGAAGATGTCTGGAACCACCAGGACTCCTCCTAGAGTTGGCCACCCAGCCAAACTGAGTGATCGAGAGAGAAGGGCCTTAGTCAGGGAGGTGACCAAGAACCTGATGGTCACTCTGAAAGAGCTCCAGCGTTTCTCTGTGGAGAGAGGAGAACCTTCCAGAAGAACAGCCATCTCTGCAGTACTCCACCAATCAGGCCTGTATGGTAGAGAGGCCAGACAGAAACCACTCCTCAGTAACAAGCACATGGCAGCCCACCTGGAGTTTGCCAAAAGGTACCTGAAGGACTCTCAGACCACGAGAAACAAAGCTCTCTGGTCTGATGAAACAAAGATCGAACTCTCTGGCCTGAATGCCAAGCATCATGTCTGGAGGAAACCAGGCACCGCTCACCACCTGGTCAATACCATCCCTACAGTGAAGCATGGTGGTGGTGTCTGTGCACCGATGCTCCCCATCCAACCTGATGGAGCTTGAGGTACTGCAAAGAAGAATGGAAGAAATGGCCCAAAAATAGTTGTGCCAAGCGTGTAGCATCATACTCAAAAAGACTTGAGGCTGTAATTGGTGCTAAAGGTGATTTAACAAAGTACTGAGCAAAGCCTGTGAATACTTATGTACATGTGCTTTTTTGTTTTTTATTTTTAATAAATTTGCAAAGATTTCAAACAAACTTTTTTCACATTGTCATTATGGAGTTTTGTTTGTAGAATTTTGAGGACAATAATGAATTTAATCCATTTTGGAATAAGGCTGTAACCTAACAAAATGTGGAAAAAGGTAAGCGCTGTGAATACTTTCTGGATGCACTGTATCTGTGCTTGGAGCATGACTGTCAGCGTGACACAAGGCCACCGAGCCCGCCTTCTCTTTGTTAAAGTCAGGGGGCAACAACAACCGTGTGTCTCGCAAGCAACTAATACAACTTTACATCCAGTAAGCATTAATTTGGTGATTTGCAGGTCTAAAAATATATTTCTGGGTCAAAACAGGATTAACATCACTTGGCATGTGGAACGTTTCAGATGCCTGATTTACATACTCTTCATCTTGCTACAAAGTTTTTTTAGTAACTTTTTAATTACAATTAGATGGAGATAATCTCTTAATATTGTGCAAGAAGTTACCCGAAAAAAAAACAACAACAAAAAAAAGTAATTATACATGGCCACTTTATTAGGTACACCTGTTCAATCTAATGCAAAGGTTTTCAACCAGTGGTCCGTGGCCCACCGGTAGTCTGATTGAAGACCCTCTTCAGGATAAGTGGTAAAAATAATGGACGGATGGATTATTATTATTTTTTTTTTTTACATGTATCATTCATATGACTTGCAGGATTATAATAGGGCCAGTCTATTGACCCCACAACAGCAGTTTTTGGGTTACATCTTAGTCAGAATGGTGATCCCTGGGTCACAATTGGTTGAAAACCCCTGATCTAACATGATCCAACTACAGCAGCCCTGCCATAACATCTATCACTATGAACCTCACATTTCAGTTTGTGTGTGCAAATTCAGTTATGTTTTTGCAATTAACTCACAGTTAATGGTGATCGTGTATTGGACTACGTCAACAAAAACTGAACTTAACGATAATGTTGTGGCATGCCCGTTGTTTTAAAATGTATTCGATCATACTGAGTGGAGGTACTATGCACAAGGAAAGAAATGCTTGAATTCTGTCAACATTTTAATTAAATGGACATGAAGTCTACCACTGAAATACTGCACCTGTCCACCAGGTGTGTTTCAGATAATCATGGGAAAAACAAAGACAGTGTAAACTGGTTGCATGACCTTCTTTTGGCAATTCAAAGCTGGTCAGCTGCTGAAAAATGTTTACAGGCAAGAATAAAATATTAGCTTGAATTTAAATGGAACTTTTCTTTCAATGACATTTAATACCATATTACATAGGTCTTTCCAGGAAACTGTCTAGGAAATTATACATACCTTTTAAATAACACATTGTGTGTCCTAACATTTCATATTGAAATTCTGTTTAATATAATGTCTTATTCACACTTAGTTCATATTGCTGCAAGTCCTTGTGCAGTCCAGTATTGTATAATCACTCCAAGAAACCTAAACCTTAAACAAGCATTACAGTGTAAAGCAGGGTTTTACTGCCAGTTGATCATCATTATTTACATGCAGCTGAAACACCAGTTGTACTTTGTGTAACCTAAACATACAAAATACCTACTTTTCACCCAAATGTAACCCAGTTATAACCTCAGTACTTACTGGGAACAGTGAAGATTTAGCCAGCTAAATCATTAACCTGAACGTACACACCGCCATATCCTGCTCAACACATAAATGATATATTAATTTATTATATACAGTCTTCAGACCCTGCCAGGCTCTAATTCTCTAGCATGCACATGCACAGTGCCATCAGATTTCGTACCTGAGAGATGTGTGACCTTGCAGAAAGACATTATGCTTGTAAATAGTACGGTTAATTGAGGTTTCTTATTTATATCTGACCTGTGGCCCCGGGCCAGAGGCTCCAGGAGAGTTAGGGATCACGGATTTTTCTATGGGCAACTACTGTATGTTCTCAAAGAAGAGGAGCAGTACTAACACTCTGTCACCACTCCTCCTCACTTTGTCAGTTGCTGAGGCTGCTCCAACACATACAGTACATGCACACCCCCAGTAACTTCAGCTGCTCATTGATCTTTCATCTTATAAATCATAATCAACTTTGTAGAAAACAAACCTTTAAAATCCTGTTCTTCAACATAATACTTCAGATCATCCAGTGAAAAAAACAGCCTGAAAAATTCTAAAAATTTCCAATTGCTTCCTCCCAAAACCTGATGAGACCAGCCCATCAATAAATATTTCCCATTTACAAACTACACAACTGGAAGCTAATCTAAACTATGAGTTTTAGGATGGTGAGTGTGATGTAGTACTAGAGAGAATCCTCTCTTTGCCCATTTGCACCATAGTGTTCTTCAACTTAAGCTTATCTATCAAATCTACTGGACAAAGGTCAGACTATCTAAAATTAAATCTAACATTGACCCTTTATGTGACAGATGTAGCCAAACCCCAGCTATGTTGATACATACTGTACATCCTGGTACTGTGCTGGAAGTCTATTTCTAAACTTTTTGGAAAACTATTGACCCCTCTCCATGCACTGCTCTCCTCACCCTCCCACCCCAACATACTCCCCTTTCTAACTCCCAGAAAGGTGGTTAAGGATTGATTCTCATTACTTGGAAACCTACTCAACCACCTTCTTATATATCACTGGATAAGAGATTTAATGAGCTGCCTGCATCTTGAAAAGATGAGATACACTCAACAAGGTGGAGAGACTCTATTCTATTTGGGGCCCATTTATTTCTTTTCCTCCCTTGGTGCTGATATGTTCACTCTATTAATTTTCTAAGTCTATTCTAATTAATTGAAATCAAATTAACTCTGTGCAATTTCCAGAAAAACCATACCCTCCAGTAGTCTGTCTGGATGTTGTAATAGCAACATTTTTTTCAGTGAGTGTAAAAAAAACACAACACTGATGCTGTGTCAGTTGGGTGTGACTGAATGAAAAGCAAAAAGAAATCAGTAGCAAACAAGGGAGGAATTTCACTCTTGGTGAGCATTTAAACAGATGAACCTGAGGATATAGTGGCACACCTTCATCTGAACACATATATCTAACCTGTATATAGGTATTTACTGTGTATCCACCAGCATATGAAAGCAGCAATGACTTTACAAGGCTGCAGCATAATGAAGCAGAGAGAGGGAGAAAAGGTCACAGATGAAATTTAAGGATATCATTTCAGCAATGCAAAGGGAATAAAAAACTGTCAATTGCAAGATCTCTAGTAAAACACTGACATCGAATTAAATAATATAATCCCTGCAGGGATGACTTTGCATTTATTACACTGGATAAGCATTTTGTAATGTGGGTGGTGTGGAACCAGCCAGAGAACATTAATGTGAGCTATACAAATAAACTTTCATTAGGTTGCAGAAATCTTGTTCAAGAAGAAAAGAGCACAGAGGAGGAGGAGGAGGAAGAGGATGAAATGCAGAGCACTTATTCAAAACAAAGGCATTATGGAGGCTTTGTGTGATGTAGAACCAGGAATGACACAAAAACATTGCTTGTTGATAAGAAAGGATGTGATAGACAAAAACAAATTACGAGGAGCTAAGAGTGGGAGAAAAGTAATGAATGAATTAGGGAAAGTAACTGAGGAACTGGAGAACAGTTGGAAAAGACTAAACTGAGGAGGTGTAAATGAAGACAAAGGGGAGAAACAACTGAAGTGGTATGAAGGAAGGGCATTTATAGAGTCCAACAGAACTGCATATAAGCAGGTAGGTGAAAGAAGATGTGGTGTAGACCTACCAAGGTCTGCTGGTATCTCAGAGCCTTCCTTTGCGATGCATCTGCGGCCATTGACACACTGTCACCGATACAAAAATAACCACGCTGGGCACCCCAGCATTTCCAGTAGAGTTACACTGGGTCAAATAAACATGCAAACATCTTCTAAGTTTCTCACTCACCTATAACTTAAAACATATTTGTTTACAAAGGGAAAATTAAAAAAACACATATAACACCCTTCCCAAACATGCTTTTCTCCAGATAATCCAGAGGCAGAGGGCCATCCAGCTCCACTGCAGATGGAAATCAGACAGGCGGACAAAGCAGAGCAACACCATCTGCTGAGACAGTGAAGGACGCAGTGCTTTCCTTTATTAGAACTGCAGACACCTAATAACACGCACACAGACTCAACTTGTTGCCCTTAGCAGCACCCTCCCTGCCAGCCGCCAATTAGGTGTGTGTTTGGATGAACTATTCTTGTTTGGAGAGGGGTGGTGGTGGTGTGCTGGGGGGTGGCAAGTGCATCCCCCCATAGGGCTGCCCCTGCATTGTGAGTAGGGAGGTGCACATGACACAGCTATGACAACTTACACCTAATCAGCCAGTGATCCAAGGCAATCCCTATAACACTTGCATACTATGACAGAACTCCCATATGGGAAAAAAAGACGCCCCAAATGTGCCCACCCAGAGTTACACACATCCCAAAAATGCTCCTAACAGTAAAGTGATCTCCAAATTGCTTAACCTCTGCAGCAAGTTCAGATATCCAGAGACACGAATATAACTGAGCATTTACAGTATTTGCTGCACATCATTTGCTAAAAGCGACCGACTGAGCTTCGGGGTGGACAGTCACTGCTCTGTAACCCCAGGGAGGCCACAGACCACTCAGCCAACTTATTCCCAACTCTTTGGTGGATCTTTCCTGTCATTTCTCCTCTTAGACTGATGAAGCAGGGGACCATTAGGACAACATAGACAAACCCCTTAACCCCACCCTGCTTTGTGGTCCACACACCAGCACACAACAACATAATCTCACTGTTACACTGGACACTAGTGAGAGATGTGGTACTCTGACCTCCAGTGTGTGTGTGTCAAGGAAGAATGACTGTGGACAGCTGGCTGTGCCTCTATTTGATACACACTATCTGATAACATCATCACTCGGCTGCAGGCGGTGTGAGAGATACGTACGTCCCAGTCGCAGCATGGAGAGATCTGAGCGCAGCGGGATAGTGGGGAGCCAGTTATACTATACCCGAGAACGTACTGGGACAGGCTGTGCGCTTGGAACAACACACGCAAACACAGCAACAAGGAAGATCAAATAAAGTGGAGCATAGACAGGAGTAGCCACATTATACATTCATGCAGAGGCTACACACGCACTTGTGCTGCAGGATTCAGCTTGAACCAAACGTGCACAAGAGCACACAGTCACAGGAAAATGCAGATACACAGATATAACCACGCAGCTATAAGAAAACAACTTAAACTGGTCTTGTTTAAAAACCATGGCCTGTTTATTGTATAGAACATTTGGCAGTCAATGGTGTTGACAAAAATAGAATCCCCACCCACCACCCCCACCACAGCTGGCAGCAAACACAAACCTTCAGAATGTCTCTCTCTGCAGGTGAGTTACCCTTTGTGCTACTCCAATGTATCTGTGTTTTGAATTATACTCCCCATCTGCAAAAACACAAGAGGAGTGACAATGTTCCAGGCCAGGGTAAACTAGAAGTGTCTTTGTTTACAGATGGCCAACAAGCAATACTGTTTTGACCATAGTTTGTTTTCTTCAATACAACACTGCTGTAACTAAACACACTGTGCCTGGTCCGGCTTTTCTGAGAAACATCAATGCTAACATAGCCTTGAGATAATAGATATCTTCTGTGTGGGGGCTGCCAAAGTAGTACGATATATGTGAAAGCACCACAGTGCTCATAATTTGTCAGCTCATCCTCACATGGCACAGGTTGCTATAGAAAGCTGCATATGGTTTACGGAAGACATACAAAAATACATTTTTACCCTTACTGTATCACATACAGTAAAATATACCAGATAAATGTGCAGCGGCCACAGAGGGGGAAACACTACAGAGTGAGAGTTAGTGTAAAGTTCAGAGTTCATACAGTAGCTGTATGCCCCCACGAGTAGCACCACATTCCCCTGGCAACCAGTCACCCTGACAGGGACATGTTTACAGTAACAGAGCTGATATGAGGAGAAACTTCAAGGGGTGCCTTCAGGAAAGCAAAAAGAAAAACAAAAAAAAAAACCACTGAAATGCTTCAAGCTGCTTTTCAAAGCTGCCCTGTAGGTGTTTTTCCTCTTCACAAGGCAAACTATGTGAGGCAAATGTGAACTATTCTGACTGAGAGCAGTTCAAAACCTGCAGCCATGACTTTACTGTTTAATCATCACTGCAGCTAAATGTAACTAAAATAAAAACTGATTTGGAACTGGAAAAGATCATTTGGAACTGCGTAAGATATGAATAATGTTCATTAAAGAGAGATGATGAAAGGCATTGGTCTCTGCTGTGCTGCCACCTGCCTGTCACTAAACTAAAAACAAGAATGGTCACAACTTGGAACAAACATTATGTACAAATAAGAATTGCATTACAGTTCATTAAAAAACAGTTTCATACAAAATAAAGCCTCAAAAATATATCTGTGTACAAAATAGTTTAAAAAGAGAGACCTCAAAGTAGCTGTGCAGTGAAAAAACAAAAAAAAAGTGTCTGATTAAAAAGGATTAACATCTAAACCCTCTAACTGGCATATATACAGCTACAAAAGAGATACACTTGTGTGTTACTCATTTCTCAGTACATGTTGATTAATGTAAGCTTGCTCATTCGTTTTTTCCAAGATTTGTGTGTGTGTGTGTGTGTGTGTGTGTAGGAGGGGTGGGTGTGAAGAGGAAATAATTACACAGAAAATACAAATAAATTTGAATGTGAAGTTGT